AGAGAGAGAGAGAGAGAGAGAGAGAGAGAGAGAGAGAGAGAGAGGAACCAACTTGAACTGTGCTCTACAACACGGGTAGAGGGGAACTGGGAGAGGATGGTGGCTCTGTCTTCTCTGGCAAGAGCAGGCCATAGCAGGACACAAAGGCTGTGACACACAGATATGCTCCAGAGCGTCAATTTATTGACTCATGAGTGAACATTCAACTGTTGAAAAGGTAAACCAGAATAGGCTTTTGAAAAACTCAGTTATCTATTCACCGGGGGTGAGGGTGGAGAGGGTAGGGGAGTGGGAGGGGGGTTATTTAACTGGCCTTTGTCACAGTCCATCGACTATGGAGTTCAGATTTCTAGGTGTACTAGCAGGTTCGTGGGGCACAACCAATGTAGTATTGCGTGTGTGTGTGTGTGTGTGCGTGTGGTGGCAGTAGATTCAGAAGATGAGACTACCTGGGGCAGGGCAGGGACAAGGATTCTCTGACCCTTTCCAGTGCTGGAGCTGGAGACTAGACCTAAAGCACTTAGCTCACCAGTGTTCTACTACTGATCGACTGTCCGGCTTTGTGTATTTTCTGCTGTTCTGCTTTGAACCTATGACTGCTTTTGAAAAGCTCTCCCTCCCCTCTGTAACCTAGATTATATTGTTGCTTAAAACTACAAAACACCCTTCCAAGCCTTCTCATTGTACCCAGGAGAGAAATAAAAGCTGTGACCCCACAGTATCTGGCCCACTTTCTCTGTGATGTCTCCAATCACTTTCCCTCTGGTCCACTTGGCTCCAACCCTGAGCTACAAGTAGGATCCCGTCCGGAGGCCTTTGCACCATTCCTTGACCTGAGGTGTCCTCTGTTTGGAGAGAGCACACTGTCTCGTCTTCCAAGGTTCACCTTGATGCACATGTCACCTTGTCAGTAAGGCTAGTCCATGTCACCTGTTCTAAAATCATACCTCCTTTTATATTTTCCATCTCCAGCCCCAGATTCAGCTTTGTCCTTGGTACCTAAACTAGCGTACATCCATTTATTTCATTCTATCATTTCTTGACCTCTGGGTTAAGATCAAATGTAGCATCTATTGTAACCCTTCTTTTTTATATAATTTTTTATTGATATTTATTGAGCACTAAATTTTTCTCTGCTCCCCTCCCTGCCTTTCCCTTCCCTCTTCAACCCTCCCCCAAGGTCCCTATGCTCCCAATTTACCCATTTTCCTTATCCATTCTTCAATCGAGGGACATTTAGGTTGTTTTCAGGTTCTGGCTATGACAAAGAATGCTGCTATGAACATAGTTGAACACATGTCCTTGTGGCACAATCAAACATCCTTTGGATATATACCCAAAAGTGGTATTATTGGATCTTGAGGAAGGTTGTTTCCTAATTTTCTGAGAAATCTCCACACTGACATCCAAAGGGATTGTACTAGCTTTCATTTCCACCAGCAATGTAGACGTGTTCCCTTTTCCCCACAACCTCTCCAGCATAAGTTGTCATCAGTGTTTTTGATCTTGGCCATTCTTACAGGTGTAAGATAGAATCTCAGAGTTATTTTGATTTGCATTTCTCTGATGACTAAGGATGTTGAACATTTCCTTAAGTGTCTTTCAGCCATTTTAGATTCATCTGCTCAGAGTTCTCTGTTTAGGTCTGTACTCTATTTTTTTTTTTATTGGATTATGTGTTCTTCTGGTGTCCAATTTCTTGAGTTCTTTGTATATTTTGGAGATCAGACCTCTGTCTGATGTGGGGTTTAGTGAAGATCTTTTCCCATTCTGCAGGCTGTCATTTTGTCTTATGTACCCCTTCTCTTGTTTAAGGTCTGCTACCTTCAATAGAGAGACTTACCAGTTTTGTTCTATCCTCAATACTGTCAGGCCTGCTGGCACACATCTGTAACTTCAGCACTTGGGAAGCTAAACTGGGACAACTAGGGCTTTGGGGTGCCAATTTGGGCTACATAGTGATTTGTCTCCTTTTAGCAAAAAACAAGAATGAAGTAAAATCCTACTTTATCAGGTGCGTGAGCACTGTCAAATGCTTGTAACAGAAGAGCATATACCTTCAGCCCAACGGTACAGAGGAAGCAAAGCTTCCAGAGTAAACAGCGATCAGACAAATGGCTTCTGCTGGCTGTGGCAACACCTGTGTTCCAGCAAACACAATCTTAGACTGTGCTTTCCCAGCTGGTCTCATCCCACTCTTAAAAGGGGATAATTCTTGAGTAGTTATGGTTCGTTCAACATAGTCATTTTTATTCTCTAGCATATTTCTGACCTGCTCACTCTTGCTTAACACATGTTCAACTTGAAGGGCTTGCTGACTTGGACCAAGTCTTTCTCTACACATCTTTTAAATTTTAAAAATACATTTCTTGCTATTTAAGTTTGTGTGTTCTCTCTGTGTGTTATTCTGAGGCCTCACACAGGACAGAGTTGTCTACATATTCATATTGCTGAGGGTGACCTTGAACTTCTGATCCTCTTGCTCCAACTCTCAAATGCTGGGGTAACAGGTATTCCATACCAGACTCATTTCTTTTTCTGCTCTTTCATAACTTCTTTCCATGTATCACGACTATTCTTTGATAGTGTACTGTAATTTGTCTAGTATTGATTTCCTGACATTAGCTACAAGGCAGGACCTTGAAGTAAACCAGTAGACTTTCCAATACTACCCTAATCTACTGGGGAACCCTGAACCTAACTAATATAAATTTCAGCCTCTCCCCAAATCTATTGGGGAGACCTTGAATCAAACCAATATATTTTCCACACTCTCCTTTGCACTTTGAGGATTCTGATATGCTGGTTATGCAGACCTTCCAAATTTTATTACACAACATTTAAAAATCAAATTTATAAACCAGGTCTTACAAGCAATATCTCAAAGTTATAAAAAACTAAGGTCACTATGGTGAACACTAGTTTTCCAAAGTGATTATTTTTACTTGAAAACTAAAACTAAAAATTTCACGTTGAAATAAATAATGTCACTGTAGTTTCCCCTGATGTGGCAGTTTTTCCAGAAAATGTCTTTTAAATACCCAGCTTGAATAGCTGGCTAGTCAGTTGTCCCTGTATGTAGCTTCTGTGAAAACAGTGGTCAAGACACCACTGAGAGCGTCCCCTGGACACAGGGCAATACCGCAGCATACAGAAGTGCTGTATGTGGTTTTTTCTTTTGTCAACATGTTGAAAAATATGCATTTGAGGGCTGAGACAAAACAATCCATGACAGCGTACTATGAAAAGTCAGAACCTCACAGATCTCCAGGGAGGGTCTGAGGGATGTTAAAAAATCCACAAAATATGTGCTATGACCTGCTGGGCTCGTGTATGAGAACACCTCAACACCAGCACTTCCTTCTTTTGGACAAAGACCCCTCTATGTAGCCCAGGCTGGTCTTAATTTTTTTTTTTTCGAGACAGGGTTTCTCTGTAGTTTTAGAGCCTGTCCTGGAACTAGCTCTTGTAGACCAGGCTGGTTTCGAACTCACAGCAATCCACCTGTCTCTGCCTCCCGGGTGCTAGGATTAAGGGTTTGCGCCACCACCGCCCGGCCTGGTCTTAAATCTTTAATAATTTGTGCCTACTAAGTGCTGGGATTACAGGTGAGCAACGCCACACATGGTAATGGGAAAACATTTTCAAGTGTAAAGACTACTTTGTGCAAAGGCAGTAGCTGTTAGTATCTAGGCACACCTTGGCCCTGCCCCTTGGGAACATGGCACCCCTCTGCATATGGCAAGTAGTTCCCTGACTGTATGCAGGTGCAAAGGTCTCTTTAAGAAACAAGCTCTGCCCACTCCCGTTTTCCCTCTCCTCCCCTTTCCGGGGCAAGCAGGACTCCGCCTACCTCCCCTTCCAATCCTCTCTCTCCTCCCTTCCTTCCCACCCTCCTCCCTCCCCTCCCAATAAACCTCAATGAACTCCACTCAAGCTCTCTCTGCAGGGTATATTCTGTCCTCACCCTGACCTGCCAAGGTCTCACTTGCCCAGTGTCACAACAGTAGCTATGAGAATTAAAAAGAGATGGTATCTATCTTCAGTATCAATAATGAACGTGGACTTCCCTCATTGAAAATGTTTTTCTGAGTCAGAAAGCATGCACCTCCTGTAGTCGTGCCTGCTGGAGAGATTGAGGCAAGACTTACATGGAAGTCTGTAGAGTTCAGGGCCAGCCTAGGAGCCAGAATAAGATTCTTGCCTTAAAATGCTAAAAAATAAAATAAAATAAAATAAATAAGTTGGGGAGAGAGAGAAGAGAGAGAGGGAATGGGGAGGAGAATCAACAAAAATTTTATTTAAAAAGCCTGTAATCAAACCTAATACTGTGTATGCTAATTAAATTTACTTAAAATATGTATAAAAAGAAAGTGAAACCCAATTTTTGTTTTCTAAAAATAATATAGAGCTTGTAACTGATTTTTTTTTTTAATAATAGAGCATGCCTTTAATCCCAGTAATTGGGAGGCAGAGGCAGATGGATCCCTGAGTTTGAGGCCAGCCTGGTCTACAGAGTGAGTTCCAAGACAACCAGGGCAACACAGAGAAACCCTGTCTCAAAACAGAGAGAGAGAGAGGGGGGGGGGGGGGATCATCAGTAACACAGAGAAATATGTTAAGTATACCCTTGTGGGCAAATGCTTTGAGAAAAGAACATTTTCCTCCACTGCTCCTTGTTTACACATTTGAGTGGCTTCACCAGAAACCATAACCAGCCCAACAAAACATACTATCACAATAACAGAATACATATAAGATACACATTAAATAATAAGCTAGGTCATACACTATAACTGTAACACCACATTCTGAATATGGATTATTTAACTTCAATTAAGCC